CGAACCCCAAACAGGATAGACCCCAAAAGAAAATCATCCAGACATATCATCATCAAACTTACCAAAACCAAAGACAGAGAAAGAATCATGAGAGCAGCACAGGAAAAAGAAGTTACCTACAATGGTCAACCAATAAGACTAAGCTCAGATTTCTTGAGAGAAACCATGCAGGTGAGAAGACAATGGGATGGTATATATAAAACACTGAAGGAGAAAAATCTCCAACCAAGAATTATGTACCCAGCAAAATTGTCCCTCAAATATGATGATGAAGTCAGGACATTTCCAGATAAGCAAAAATTAAGGGAATTTGTTAAAATCAGACCAACCTTACAAGAGATGCTAAAGGGAGCCCTTTGGACAGAGAAGCAACAACAGCCAGCAACAACTGACCATTAACACACATGATGGTATAACCCAGAAACCAACTCAGCTATGGAAGTATCCAAACTAAATAACCCTACAAGATTGTAAGCAGGGAACCAGAGACATCAATTGACATATGAGAACAACTACAAACCAAAAAGAGGGGAAAAAACTGTGTCATTACAGAACTTCTAGATGGTACGGAAGTCAAGACAACTACAAGATAGAACAGAATGTTCTAAACTTGGGAAGAAAACTGTAAATCACAGGGTAACCTCAAAGAAAAATGATAAACCTTCACAACAAAATAAAAAAGAGGACCAGCACAAATATTTAGCAAACACTAAAACAATAGCAATGAAGGAGATGATAACACAATTCATAAACAAAACGAGCTCAGCATAGAAAATTATATGGAAGAAATCGACACTACGAAAAAGCACGTAACAAAAATGACAGCAACAAATTCGTATTTGCCAATATTACATATCTGGCAAGGGACTTATCTCTAAGATTTATAGCAGAAGAGTGGATGACCAAACTATGGTACATACACAATGGAATGCTATGTACAGTCTGCAAAACATTGCACAATATGGATGAACTTGGAGGACATTATGCTGAGTGAAATAAGTCAATCATAGGAAAAATATAGTATTAGTTCCTTACTGTGGAGGGTCAAGTAAAGGTTTATATATGGAAGGAAACTTTGTTGATTGCCTGGGGTGAGAGGGAGGGGAGGGAATACTGCAAAAGGAAAAAACAAACAAACAAACAAACAGCATTGACCCATGTACTTTAGTTTTGTGTATTTCACTGTACATAAATTATATTTCAATAAAATGGATTAAAAAAATAATAATTTAGCCTGTGATTGATGGACGTAGCCAACTAACTATCACAGCAGAAAACTCATCAGCTTAGACCGAAGCCGACAGGGAAGCTGTGCAGAAATGGCAGTGCAGACATCAGATCTCCTCTAACTTTGGGAGAGGGCAGACTCCAGATCAACAGCCTAAGGCTGATTCCTATGAGGTGGTCAAACATAACTCTAACCTTTTTACCAGTTCTGGCACCAGACGTCTTTCCCACAACACTCTACTTCTCTGCTGGGTTTAGTAATTCATTGCAATGGCCACACAGAACTCAAAGACAATACAATTATTATGGGGCTTATTAGAGAAGTAACAAGTTACAATTTAGGATCTGGTACAACTCAGGATACAGTTCTTTGGTGAGGACAGGTTCTTTTCAGCTGTGCTTGCAGACAGGCCTCTCTCTCTCTTGCCCTTGGCCACTTGGCCCATACCCTGCTTGGGCAAGTGTTACAAAGCTCTTTAGTTCCACCACTAAGCCTTGGCCTGAAGGTGATCAGCTCTCTCTTGCTTCATGGGTCTGCACACCCACTGTACTTGCCTTGCTCTGTGGGCTGGGAAGCCTACTGTGCCTTCTTCTCATGCCAGTCTCCTGGTTCTTCTGCTCCATTACTCTGTTGCTGCTTCTTGCTGTCTCAGGTATAGCTAGCTCTCTGTCTCCTGGGTGTAGGAGGTTCTAAGAGCAGGGACCTCAGATCCAAAAAACACGCTGCACTCATCTCTTCTTTGTGGTAATGATCCTAAGCACTTTCTGCCTCTGGGATGGCTCCTTTTATGCTTAGTTGGATGACAAAAACTGAACAAGTCTCTCATTCCATACACCTTATTTGTACAGTCTCAGCCCCACAAGGGTTCTATGCACCGTATCTGCATTGTCAGGAAGCTGTCCAATTCCCTTATGTGAATAGTCCCACCCAATAATTTGGTGGGAATTATGAGACTATAGCAAAGAAAGGCCATATAAAAATGATCAGCTGCAGCAGAGTGAAAGGAAAAAATGGTGTCTGCCTCTTGGAATTCTATAGGTAGGAAACAGGCCAAAGGAGGTACATCCCTGGAGTAGTTTGGTGATCAGAACTGTTAGAAGGAGTACATGAAGCAGAGCTGGCTGAGTCTCAAAGGTGGGGTCAAAGCATCTGGAGTCTCAAAGGGTAGAGCTCATGGCCTCCTAGTTTTCAGTCAGATTTTCACCAACTTGGTGCAAAGTGTGGGGCTGCCATTTTTTTAAGTTTTTATTGTAATTTGGGTGAAAGTTTACAAATTAGTTTTCCATTCAACACTTTATACATGTTTGTAACATTGGTTGCAACCTCTTCATAACAGCATTCTTCCCATGTCTTCCTTGGGTCCCCTATTTCCATTTGCTCATCTTTTCTGCCCCTTCCTTCCAAGATTTGTTTTTGGGCAAATGCTGCACTTTTGGTCTCATATGCTTGATTGTAGTGAGTAGTATGTTCCTTCCTGGTATTATATTCACTTTATAGGCCTATTGTTTGGCTGAAAGTTGATTCCCAGGTGTGGCTTCAGTTTTAGGCTTGAGAGTTACCATTCATTTTGGTCAAAAGGATGAGGATGCAAAGCTGTGAGGGTAGGTTGTCACGCCCAAGCAGCAGAAAAATGGGGCAAGCCAGGGGACAGAGGCTGAAGGAATGGGGTCACCATTTAGATGAACCAGAATGGGACTGCCAAAGACTGAGGGAACAGGGTGGAGGTACTTGCCCAGATGGTCACAAAGAATAAATGATGATTTATCAAGCCTTGACAGCTAATGTAAATTGTTCTACTGGGTTTTGGACTTGCTTGGTGCCTGCTATCTCTTCTTTCAAATTTTCTACTTTATAATGGCAATGTCTACTTGTGCTATTGCACTATTGTACTTTGGAAGCAGATAACTTGAATTCTAGATTTCACAGGTTCACAGATGAAGGAGTTTGCCCCAGAATGGAATATGCCTAACAACTTACTCATATTTGATTTGGATGATTTAAAGGATGAGATTTTTGACTTGGAGTTAAGGCTTTTGGGATTATATGATGGGTGAATGTGTTTTACAAAAGGAAAGGACATAAATTTTAAGGAGGCCAGAGGGTGGAATGTTATGGATTGAATTGCAGTCCCCCAAAATTATGTATTGTGAATCTTAACCTCTATGACTATGGTTATAATCCCATTTGTGAATGGGTTGTCTTTGTTATATTAATGAAACAAGGTTAGTAGTTATGTCTTGAGAGTCAATCTCTTTCTTTTCTTTTTCTTTTTTTTTTATTGAAACTTCTCATCGTGATTTGGGTGAAATGAGTCCATCTTTTTCGAGAAATACCAAAAACAAACCAAAAAAAACCCCGAAACCCATCTCCACTGAGTTGATTCTGATGCAAGCGACCCTATAGGACAAAGACATAAGAAATTAAACAAGTAATCGGGAAACAGAGATTGGGGAAGACATTTGTCAAGCCACATGAAGACTGCCCAGGAGCAGATGCTCAAGAAGAGACAGGGACAGTCCTCCAGAACTAGAGAATACCCATCCGTGGTATTTCCACTATAGATGGCACTGGATAGGTAACACATGTGTTGTCCTCAAGTATAATTACAGGACTTTTTCCACCTTATACTACCAATATCCTGTGGGTTATTACTAATGAAGTCTGTGGACTAACTTTTAAGAAAACGTTCAGTTTCAGGAACTCTGCTATCATCCAGTGTCTTACTTAGTGGGCTCCGCTGCTGTTGTTGGTCTGGGGCTTAGGGAAGCAGAGGCTGCAGACTTGGACCAAAACCAGCGCAGTTTAAGGGTCCTACTCTCACTTCATCTGCTTTCTGTATCCACCTACACTGTGACAACAGAGCCCCTATGTATATCCATCCCATGTTTAAGTGGAGGAAGAAAGTATCCCCTTCTCAGAGTCACCTGTAGGCAGTGACTAATTAAATCACACATACTCAGTTTAGGACATTACTATCTGAATGCTTACTGTTTGACTTCAGCAACAATAAATTCAAACAAAGTTCTAGATTAATTACGTGCTATACAAGCATTTGCCTCTCTCATTCTGAAACTAAGGAACTATGTATATATATTTAGCTAATATGTCACATTTCCCTCTCAGAACTCCAAAACAGGGGAACTGAACTGATGTAGATAGATAGCAAGGGATATTCCTATGTGGCAAACTTTGACGGCTCTTACCAAATATGATCTTAACTAGAGGGTCACCCACCTTTTCTACTCACAAATGTATCTTGTGAGTTTTTTTTTCTCCTAAAATTAGCGTATCTACCCTGTTGGCAAAATTTTGGAAATGTCAATCCCACACACATACCCATCTCTTGGGAAGAAGCTTTTAAATTCTTGTTTGCATTTGCAAAGGGGGTTAGCAATGAACCTGGAACTCCCTAAGTGACTCACTCCAGAACCAGTGCTCGTGCCTCAGAGTACAAGAGGGTGAACAAGGCCAATGCACTGCCCCTTGTTTGCCTTTATTTATAACTGTTAAGCCAGAAATCCCTATCAGATCAGTTATTTCTTCTTAACTTGATTTTACTAGCCTTATAAGTCATTACGCATTTTGTGGTCCTTTCAGTCATAATTAGGCATAAAACACATTTACTTCCCTATGCCCCCAACCATCACCATTCTCTGGATTGCCTATTTGTCTACTGCGGCAGATACTCTCTCATAAATAAATTTGAAAACATCCAATTTCAAATGCAGAAATAACAGCTGTAAGAAAGAAAAAATGCATTATACAAAGACTCTTCTCATAAGATCATGTTTTAATCGCCTGTGACACAGATATATCACACAATGGCTCAAAATTAATAGTCTGGTAAGGGTTAAAGAAAAACGAGTGAAACTGAGTTTATGAATCCTTAATTTTTAGTAAATTTCTGGCAAAAACTCAGGGGTAGAATTATCACAAAATTATGTCTTCAGAACTAGCACCCTTCACCATCTGTCTTTTATTCATTTTGCTGTGATGAAACTATAAAGGCCAATAAAAACTCCCCTGGATCTCAGGTAACAGTTTTCCAAGAGCAAAATATCACTTTCTCTGCACAGTAGTGAAAGCTGGCATTTGGATGGGCTGGATCGGGTGGACAGGTTGAAACACTGGCTTCTTTCTCATCTCTGAGAGTGTTTTCACTGCAGGGAGTAGCTGATTCCTTTTGATGATCTGTAAGGCCAGCTGGGTATTACCTATAAAAACACTTACGGTTAAAAAAAAAAAAAAAAAGCTCCCAACAATACCACCACACACAAAACAAGCCATCAGAGTCCTAGTCAGAGAGATAAAAGAAGATAGAGGAGAGCTATCTACGGTCTGCAAACTTGCTGTATATGGAAATCATTTAATGCCTAGACCCCTTCCCCAGAAATTCTGATTAAGTGATGTGGGCTGTAGCCTGGGCAATTTTTTTTTTTTTTTAAAAGCTCCCTAGTGACTTTAATATACAGCCAAAGGCTGTGAACTGTTTTCAGGTAGCCTGGAAGAAAAAAGGCATCAGCAGTAGCATACTGTGGGAACTAGGCCAGGCACTGACCCCGACCACATCTTTCAGGAGGCCACGGTCTGCTGTGTGCCAGGCCCTTTAACATCCTTCACGAGCTGTGCCCTTGGTAAGGCTTCCCACACTCAATAAGGAGGTATGACTTTGAGCTCTTAAATATTTTTCTCCCTTCTCATTTCTCCTAGTTACATCTCTTCCCTACGTTATACAATCTCTCATGTAGGGCCCAAAGCCCTTCTATTAAGCTGTGTCCTGGATGTCTTATATGCCCCAGAGTCACGACCTGGATTTAGGTTGGATAAATAATTCTCAGCAAGAAGTAGCTTACTATAAAACGCATTAACATCATTTAAAAAACTACTGCATACAACTAAAGCAACTGGCATTATGACTCATGTTCTCAATTAAGAGTCATTTGGCCGTCTAAGAGAAAGGTTAATTAGTAGGGATTAATTATAATTGTCAGAAGTTATACGGTTCTGTCTTTTCATAGATTAAAAGAAATATGCTTAACTTGCAAGAAGTAGGAGTTTGTGATATATCCAGAACTTCCTAATTACATTTCTGTTTAGAAGAATCTTGTTATATCTTTGAGGAAGGTAAAGTTTGGATTTTGAAGAGAAAAGACAATATCAAAAGTCTAGGGCTTTTATAAGGGACAAAATCTTGACCTGAGCAGAGAGAAGCCCCACTTACCATTCTGCAGTTCAAGGTACACTGCCAACAAGATGGCCTCAGGGGGCACCTCTTTAGGGTGGATCATCGAGGCCGCCTTTGTTCAAAACAGAAAGGAACCCATGAATAATCAACAGTTAAAGCTATAAACTCCAAGTTATGCCAAAAATGAAAAAGAATATTAGTTTACCGATACCACAGTAAGAAATTTATTCAAGTTCATTCCTAGAGACTACCTCTAGTTCTAGACGTCCTGGTGGTACAGTGGTTAACTACCTGGCTGCTAATAGAAATGTCAGTGGTTCAACTCACCAGCCACGCAGTGGGAGAAAGCTGTGACAATCTCCTTCCACAAAGAATTACAGCCTTTGGAACCCTATGGGGCAATTCTCTGCCCTACAGGGCCACTTTGAGTCAGAATTGACTCAATGCCACACAACATCTACACGATTGTTTTTTTGCAAATAAAGTACTCATGTATATAATGGGCCCACACACATAACATGCAGAAATGACAAAATGAAGTAAAACAGTTCTGACATAGTGTGCCCATGCATATACTGCGCATGTCTTGTGACATTTCCAGAAATAAATTTTGGCCTCATTTATCCGTCCTCCCATATTACAGGTAAATTATATCATTCTGTTAATATTCTTTTATCTCCTATTTATGTACATAAAAATAGTATGAAAATAGTTCCTTTTGATCATAATTGTATAATACAAGTATAAGCCATGGTTAAGAAGGCATGGATGAAGTTTGGTAGTCCCCAGATCATCAGAAAACAATCAATTAAAATAGTGCATTTCTTTCTATTAATTTAAGGTTGATAATACCAACCTTAAGTGAAGTTTCCATATGATCAGAAATAGAAATCAAAGTCAGTAACATGTTAAAAAAAAAATAAAAAACTGGTACAGTGCACTTACAAAAACTGTGTACACTGAATGAAAGCGTTGAGTACCTTGCTTAAAAGCAATGAATACCTAATGATTTGGAGTACTACAAATTAAAAATATAAGCATTGATAATAAACAATCAGAGTGACCTTCAGTTAAGAGTGAAGAGACACTGTGCTACAAGTCGAGCTTCTTGTTTTAGTTCCAATTCCTAGAAAAACCTCTAAAAATCAAAGCCACTGCCCATCAAGTGGATTCCAACAGCATGGAGTACAGCTGCCCCCATAGATTTTCCAGGGCAGTAAATCTTTATGGGGGAGCTCTGGTAGCGTAGTGCATAAGGCACTTGACCGCTAACCAGAAGGTTGGTGGTTCAAACCCATCAGCCACTCCTCGGAAGGAAGATGGGGCAATCTACTTCCGTAGTGATACTGCCTCAGAAACCCAAGGATGGGTCGCTATGAGTCAGGTCCGACTCGACGGCATATAACAACAACAACAACAACAAATCTTTATGGAGGCAGAATGCCTCCTCTTTCTCCTGCAGAGAGTCTGCTGGGTTCAAACCATCACCCTTTCAGTTAGCACCCAAATGCTTAACCACTGTGCCACCTAGGATCCTTGACAATCCTTTAGAGCTCTCCAAACCCATTTTATCATGAGTAAAATGAGAATGCTAGCACACTGTCTAGATCTAGCTCAATTGTAAAAATAAAATGGAAAAAACAAAACAAAACAAAAACTGTGTATACTAGAGGGGGGAGTTCTGCGTGGCTAGGCATAAAAAGAATAATGTGTGCATTATTTGTGTAAAGATGACAGTTCTGCTTTGAAGCTGCTCAGTTGCCTTTGACTTTAATCTCTACCAATTAAAGCTAGATGTGTAACTCATAGTTAAATGATTCAATCTTTATTTTCCATGGCCTAATCCATGGCAAGTTCTTAATAAGAAAAATGTTTTCCTTCCCTCTTGGTTTTCACCTCCTTGGGGTTCTTATCCTGTCTCTTGGCTGTAATTTGGTCTAGAAATAGGGTAACGGACATTCCCGATTCTACACTGCAGTTGTCTGTCCAGGTCTGCTGGTGGCTGTTTACCACAGATACAGTTGTGTTTACTCCACATTTGCCCTTATTTTCCTAAGTTACATCTCAACTTTGTAAGCTGCAAGTTGGCAATGTCATAAATGAGAATTCAAACTCATCTGAATAAATACTAAAGACAAAACTTTCCATTAGCACATTCAGTGTCCTTATTGCTAAAGTGGAAACATAACACAAGTTACGTTAATCTATTTGTTTCGGCTACATGCTGTCTTTTCCTGGACTGAGCAAGAACTCAGCTTCAGTAGCAGCTTCTCTCTGATCCAGTCCAGAGGGATGGAACCCTGGACAGCTCTGGTCAAAGATGTTGAGACTGCAGTCTGGGCTTCTTTGGCCTATTGCCTCTCCCCAGTCTACTACAGCAAGTCTGAATTGCCCATCTAGTTTCAGATGTCTAAAGCTTCCAAACTGCTATATTTCTTCCCTTAACCCAATCAGAAGCACATGACCAGAAGTGGGGGTAGAACAAGGACTGACCTAACAATAAACAGCGTGCAAATGACTAACAATAACCTGAACAACTTTACCTAAATGCCAGGGAGAGAGACAAGTGAATATGCTGAGGCAGGAAGAAGTGCTTCTTTGATGTGGAGAGCTTTGGGGCAAAGAATGTGCCTTTGTCCTTGCTGGGCAGATATGTGATAGGCAGAAAATGGGGGGAAATGGCATTGCAGGGAATATGGAGGATGTCCAGGGTCCAGAAACTTGCATGAAGTCTGGTATAGGTGGCATCAGATAATGTCCTACACTAGCAGGGATTTCTGGTCTAGAGCACATGCTCCTAAAAAGTTCCTCGTGAAGGAGTGGAAGTTTTTCATTCCTCTCACCACATCACTGAGATAAGATTCAGTTCAGAAATAAGATTTTATACTTCTAAGAGAAAAGTGAATATGCTGTGAATATGTGGAGGAAGGAAAAAGTGTTTCTTTGGCCTAGCTTCACCCAGGAAAGATCATCTTTACACCATCTTGTAGATATTGAAATCTCTATTTTACTCCACGTGCTACTAAATAGTGATTATTTATACTGCTCTCTGACAGTCTGCAGCTTTTTCTGCAATGTAAGAATTCATGGCAATAACTTTATGAGACTTAATGGCATTTTGCTTACTGGCTGTTCAGAATGGTTACTGTGGTCAGGTAACTCTGGAAACATCTACGTGAAGCCCCTTACAACCCTCCATCTCCCTATTCAGCCCTCCCAAGCAGAGGGGGCTTCCCAACTAACAAAGGTCCAGTTATTGGATTAACCCAAAAACCAAGGGACCAAAACAAAACTCCCTTCAGACCCCAAACTAGGCCTGACCCCATCTGTCTCTCCCAGCATGGCAGCTGCCACAGCCACCTGCTGTATAAGAACCTGAGATTGAGCCCGAAAGCTCAGCAGTGTTCAGAGTCTTTTGGCACCTTCAGAAGAGCTGTGAAACACCCTGACCCTGCCACTGAACAGTGATTTCAACTCTCTCCTCCTCATCCACTGACCCAAACATGTTTCCCTGGGTAGTCCATCACTTAGCTTTTCTGCTTTTAGATCAGAAATGCAGATCAGATGTGGTTAAGTTGGTAAAACATCACTAATGGTTACTTTCCACATGTAAGCCTCATTATTTCTGGACACAACAAGGCCACCTTTATGGAAGCCACCATGTCTCCTCAGAGTACGTTTAATTTCCATGTTTTGGCAAGATATGGGGTAGTGGGCTCTCTGATGTGCTGCTGGTGAACATCATGTAAAATTTTACATGTCCTTTGATCTTGCAAATGCTCTTTTAGGAAGGCTCCCACCTGTAGGGTCATGGAGGCAGGACCATACTGTGTCTTCTTATGCACTGTCCTTCCCACACCTTAGCACTGAAGTAGGTGTTCAACAGATGCCAGCTGAATGAATATCCTTTTGAGGAATCACACTTTCCAATTCTGTGAAATACCAGTAGGGCTGCCTATTGTGGTACCCGGTCCACTACTTTAGATACGGGCCTATTGTGGATTGAACTGTGACCACCAAAAATGTGTGTTGTAAATCCCAACCCCTCATACCTATGGGTGTAATCTCTTTCAGGAATAGAATTCTCTGTTATGTTAATAAGCCATGTCAGTGTAGGGTGTGTCTTCAATCACTTTTGAGATAGAAAAGATGAGGCACAGAAGCCAAGGAGCAAGAATGGGGTGGGGGGTGGAAGGTGGGGAGTGGGGGGAGAAAAATGTTATACTGTCATGTAGAAATCTCCAAGGAATGCCAAGAACTTTAGAGAAGCAGAGACAAAGATCTCCCCCAAGAGCAGACAGGGAGATCCTTCCCCTAGAGCTGGTACCCAGAATTCAGACTTTCAGCCTCTTAAACTGTGAGAAAATAAATTTCTGTTTGTTAGAGGCAAATAAGTTTCTGCTTATTAAAGCCACCCACTTTTAGCATTTCCATCAGCAGCCCTAAGAAACTAAGACAGGGTTCATACCCATGACTGGTCCAGGGATGGGCAGGTGACCCAAAGAGGCCCAAGTAGGATCTTCCTTAAGACTGAAGATGGAAGACAGCTGATTCTCTCTGAAATCCTGACCTGAAGGCATCTAGGTTTGAGGTTGCCAGCAGCCAAATTTTCTGCTGGTGGAGCTATTGCTGGAGTTGCCCCTGAGACTTCCCAGCTGTATTAATTAGTAAATACCATTTGTGTTTAAGCTGTTCTGAGCTGACTTTCTGCCATTTGCCATAAAAGTTCCATCTGACTCACACAGAAAACGGTCAGCAAGGTACACAAAGATGTCTACAAGAGTGCTCACTGCAGCACTGAAAAAGTCAAACACTGGGGGAAAAAATAAAGAAACAAAGAACCCAAACACTCAACTTTTGTTAAGCTACATTTCATGTCAAAAGTGAAGGAAACATTATCAGTCATCACCTATAACATGGGAAAATGTTACCAACTGCTAAGTAAAAAGATCAAGCTACAAAAACATTAGTTTTTTCCTGGGATAAATTACCAACATTAACACACATGTATCTGGGAAAAAATGGCAAGGATACACATCAAAGTGTAAACAGGGATTATCTTTTGGCAACAAGATTTGTGTTAGTTTAGGGATTTCTGTGTGGGTAGTCTGTGTACATGATCTAAGTTTTTGGCACTGAGCACGCATTACAACTCGGGGGAGGGGGGGACCTGCAATCAATAAAGTCCATGGGTACATATGGTATTGAAATGTGTCCAAATTTGCAAGTATATTCCCCGGTGGTATTGACAAAGCCACAGTGATGTGTTACCTGGGAATGATCAGACGTTATGACCGTAACTAGGGCTAGCATGTGGTGGTCTTCAGCACTGACCAGCCCTTGACACTAGAGTCCATTCCTGCCTGCTCCCTAAGCCTGGGCCAGCTTGCAGTCAGCTTTCCACTTCTCTGCTAACTGCATTACTGAAAGATACACCATTTCAGCGGTAAAACAAAGGTCCACTTTAGTTCTGTATCGCCAGTAGCTTTCTTTAGTTGTGTGTGGGGTTTTTCTGGGACTGGCTTTCTGAAAAACAAATTTCAGAAACAACCCTGTCTTTCTGAAAGATAAATTTTTAATTTAACTTTCTGAACAGATGTACATTCATACAATTAAAAATGAAAAAGCCTAAGAGTATCCAGTGAGAAGGTACCCATCCTAGTTCTCTAACTACATGGTACTCGTCCTGTCACCTGCAACTAATGCCAGCAGTTTCTGGTACATCCTCTCAGAGATCTCTGGTGCATATATACAGGATGATACAGGAATTGTTCTATATTTTGCTCTTTTCACTTAAAATGTCTTGGATATCTTTTCATATTAGTACATAGAGTTTACAGCTGTGCTGTGGTCAACTGTACAGATGCCTCATGATTTATTTAAGTGATCCTTTATTTAGGTGTTTTCCAGGATTTTGTTTAAATTGCCTAATTTATTAAAATTGTCAGGAAAATACTCCATTAAGTTTCATTAAGTGTCTAGGCTCATTTGCAATACAGATCAGTTCAGTTGACTATGTAAGAATACTCTTAAGCTTGGAAGAATAATATTCCAATGCTAAACAAACTGACAGGATGTGTCAAACAAAATAATGAAAAACACTCCAAGTGCTCTGCTGGCTGCTTTAGAAGAAGGTTCAGCCCCACCCTCCTAGCCTTACCTGGTGGAGACACTTGCGGGCTTTGTCATACTCGCTTCGCAGGCAGTAGGCGCTGCCGAGGTTGAACAGCATCACAGTCCTGGCGGAGCTGACAGAACTTGGGTAGCACTGAGGGGCCCGCTTCCCAGCTGGAGAAATGGAACATAGACACTGTGGAAGAGGCAGGGCCAAGGGCAAGGGTGTAACCTAGTCCACAGCCTTCCAGGATCTACTCTCAATAAAGCACAGCACTACTCCTTAGGCTAACAAATGAAGGACACAGAAAGCTCAAATCTTTGGGATGCTGGCCAGGCTACCTAAATATTTATTCTGAACTTAGAAACATCTTACTTACAGGATTCCATTGCTTCATTTTCACCTTTGTCTGATCCTACAAAGACATGAAAAATAGATTTAAGGGGGCAAGAAGACAAAGCCTGTTTTCTAAAAACCCATTTTCTTTATGAAATGGAATCTAATATCAAAGCATGTGTGAAATGTACTTTTCATGTAGTAGGGGTTCTATTAAGACATCCAAAATGCTACCACCCACCACTGCCCTAAGCCTGAGAAAGAACTTCCAATAAAGTGAATGCCACAAAGTCTCACTCCCCCCAAAGAACATAACTATGATCTAAAACTAACTTTTTTTTTTCTTTTTCTTTTTTTTTTTAATTAGGATTTGGGTGAAGATTTACAGAGTAAATTCACTTTTCATTCATGTCATTGACCAAAATTTACAATGCAGCAGCTCCCCTCCCACTTCCTCCCCATAGTTACCTCTTCCCAGTGTCCATCCCTTCATACTCTTCTGCACCCTGAGCTATCTCCCTGTGCATAAGCAGCCCTTCCTTCTCCCATGATTGTTCTCTCCAGGGCGCGTGTCTACTTAAGGTAAATGTAAAACTAACTTTAGAATGCAGTATTTTTACTCCCCCTGGACTAGGAAATCACTACAAAAAGAAAACTACAGCATCGGAACCAAAACAAATTGTCTTAACGCTATCAGCTCTTCAAAAGCAAGAATTTAGACCATATTGAAAATCAATTCCCAGGTCTACTTAGTAATTACTACAAAATCAGTCCAATCCAGAAGTGGAAAGCTGGCCTAAAATGTCCTTCCCTTTACAACTCTGCCCTTAAATCTCTACATATCCCGAATTATGGTAGGAAGGCAGTGGAAACAGTGGCCAGTTCTAATCAACTGTGTCCTCATTAACCTTGGTCCTGCTCATTTGAAGAGATCCCTAAGGAGACATCAGTGACATTCTCTGGGTTCAAGTGAGTAATAGCATCAGATATTCTGTCCAGAGAGATGAGGGCTTCTGCAGCATATAAATGGCCCAGAAACCTAAAATGAAAAAGCAGATTTCAAATGAAAAAGTATGTCATTACAAAAATAACCAATGTATAAAAACAACACTGCATGTATATATTTAAATCTTTGAATGGAAATCTAAATTTATTTAGGCAAAATGGCTCTATTAAGGGTCATCGTAAATGTTATCTCTTTAGAAATATCTTAAAATATGCAATAACTTTCTTATTAGTTAAAGAGAAGAAATAACTCATGTCAATTAAGAAAGCAGTTCAAATGGCAGATTGATACAGAGGAAAATACTAACATAATAAAGGCATAAGTTTCTAAAGTGGTCCAAGGAGGCACAGAATCTGAAGCCTTGCGTCTCTGCTGCTGGAAAAGTCTGAAGGTGCCAGAGTGATACCACATTTGGAATGGATTCACCTGCTTTTCACAACATCTATTTTATGCCCATTGATCCTAGGAAGTCTGGCGGTTCACCGCCACTCCTAGGAAGGTAGGTTGGGCAATCTACTTCTGTAGTGATACTGCCTCGAAAACCCAAGGAGAGGTTGCTATGAGTTGGATCCCACTCGATGGCAGATGGCAGTGATTTTAGTTTTTGGTTTTGATCACAAGCCAGACCCAGCTTTTCTTGCCTTACAACAGTAGTCTGTTTCTTACAGGCTCTTACTTGGAGCCATACGATTATCTAATTCTTCAAAATTCAAAGTCTTAAACATAATACTCCTCTGTCAAAAAATCTTAATCACTTTTTCTGTGTAGGAACAAAACAAGAGTACACTTTTATAGTTTTCAAGCTCTCCACAATTTGGCTGTACTGTCCTATATCCAGGGAGCTCTGGGGCACAGTGGTTAAGGCATGCAGCTGCTAACCAAAAGGTCCGTGATTTGAACCCACCAACTGCTGCAAGGGAGAAAGATGTGGCCGTCTGCTTCCGTAAATATTTACAGCCTTGGCAAACCTATAGGGCAGTTCTACTCTCTCTTACAGGGTTCTTACGAGTTAGAATCAACTCCATGGCAGTAGGTTTTTTCTTGTTCTTCTATATCCAACCAGTCCCCAGGGAAGGGTGCACTCATTGCTCCCCTGTGGCGCGGACTCCTGGAGCTCACAGCCCTGCCTCACCTGCATAGCTAATATTCCACAGACCCTTCTTTTTAAACGACTAGCTCAGGTCTCACCTCCTCTACCCAGCCTACCCCAGAGCTGAGTCTGTTCATATGGATTCTGGATCCTTAAATCTTAAGCTTTTTACAATTTGACCACTTTCTGGAATTTATGCACATCAATCACTTGTGAGCTCTTTATTAAGCAATTCCATCTAACTGGCAGAGGCTGCAATGACTTTTTGTTTTGTCTTCCCACCAAATGTCCTAATGGAGATGACATTTTTCCCCCCAAATCAGTAACTTCAAGAGTATTTTAAAATAAGATATTTAAAAAATTTCATTTAAATAGTATTCACGTGCAAAAGTCATTAGAAACAACAAACACAAATTCAAAAACACAAACACAAGCACAAATTCAAAGAACTACTTCAAACTTTTTTATTTGAATTTAATAAAACAATTTTTTTTTTTTT